TGTACCACGCCCTGCCCTGGTGACTCTCTATTACTCCCTTATCTATCCATATCTCAACTATGGTATTTGTGCTTGGGGCTCTACTACCCAAAATCACTTACGTCCTCTAATTACTCAACACAAAGCTGCTATTAGGACAATATCCAATTCTGGCCCCAGACATCACTCGGTACCCCTACTTAAATCTCTGAATACTGTATGTTAGACATTAAGTCACTGCACATTCTCTCATGTGTATTATACATATATAAAACGCTAAACTATAATGCCAATCCTGATCTCAAAAGCTTCATAGAAGGTTGTATCAGAACCCATGAGCATCACACCAGAAATAAATACAGTTTTGATATTCCTAGAGTACGACTTAATCAAACTAGAAATGCTCTACAAATCAAGGGGCCCAGAATGTGGAATGACCTTCCCAACCACGTTAAAGACTGTACCTCTCTCAACCAGTTTAAGTTAAAAGCGAAGCTATACCTAATAAATTCCCTGTAACCTACCTTACCCTTCTATTGTCAACCAATGTCTGTTTTTTTCTTTAAAGAGCGCTGTTTGTCGACATAATTGTATTTGTGCTGCTTTTTCATCTATGTTTTCATTTCTTGTTTTCATTCTACTCATTATGCTCAATTAGTATTAAGCTTGTCATTTAAGTTTATCATGCCCGAAACGCTTTGCGTAATAGTGGCTTTAGGCATTGTATGTACTAGCTATACCTATAAGTTAAACAATCCTTGTAAATATATATTGTATGTATGTACCTTACCTAAATAAAATTGTATTGTATTGTATTGTATTGTAGAATCCAGCAAACGAGCTACTCCAAGGAACCAACCCCAAAGGTCAACACCGAAGAGAAACCCTGTGGTTCCGGCAAGAACTGCCAGAGAACAGTCTGAATGGAGCTGAATAGTAGAGCACCGAGTGACCCAAACCCTCCGAAGCACAAACCAGACAGCCACGAACTCCTGAACCATGCTGTGAGCCCGATGGACGGACAGACTCCACCATCCCCAGCCGACCTGGTGAGCACTGGTCACAAAGCCCCAGCCGAGAGATGACCCGTCCGTGAACACATCGAGCAAAGACTCGGGGAGGTGCCAAGGCACGGAACCCCAAAAACCCCAAAGAGGAAGCTGGTGACGCAGCACCAACACAAGATCCCCGGAGAAACGAACCCAACGATTGCAAGAGGCAGAAGGGGAGTCTCCGAAGAAACCAAACAGACGCCGAAGCCATACCCGATCCCGCGGGCAGACCAGCACGTCGAAGTTCAGACTCCCGCACAACTGCTCGAGCAACCCGGAACCCCCCTCATGCACAGCCGAAGGTGGGACCACAGCCGCAGTAACACTTCTGGAGGGAAAGACAAGGAGTGGCCCAATAGCCCTAAACAAGGCCCAGGTCCGAACCCAGGACGGAAACAGACGGAATGGCCTCCAGATCACCAGGAAACCAAACCCGGCGATCTGGAAAGAACCACACCCCCTGGCAAGCAGACAAGCGGACCGACTGGGAGCCCACACCAGCCAGTCGTCGAGGTTGGCCAGACACCGAATCTCGAGCAGACTCAGACAGGGCCCCAAGATCCGGTAAAGATGCAAAAAATACACCAAATGCCAATAATTGACCTGGAGGTCCAGGGCCACCATCCAGGCACCCAGCCCCAACAGAAGCTGGACAGGAGACAACAGTCCCCCCCTAGGAGGGCATAGAAGCCAGGGCGCAGACTTAAGAAGTCCAGAAGAACCGCAGATTCGAAGGCCCATGTCTGCAAAAGGCAGACGGGAACCCCAGAATGATGGGGCGGATCAACCACGCCCAATGCACCCACCAAGATGACATGACGAAGCGCAGGGGAAGAAGCCCACCCCGCCAGCTCTGAACCCCCCAAAAGGGGGAGAAGCCGTCCATCGCCACCACCAGAGGCCGGAAGACAACCAAAAGCGCCCACCAACAGCAGGACCATCCGAGAGTCAACAGAGCAAGCTGCTCCCCCAGCGCCCCGTTAACAGAGAATGGAACAGAGCCCCTGCTGAAAGAAAAAGGACATACACATATATACATATCATGTATATACACATACATATACACATACACACAAGGTATGTGACACACGTGCATATGCACATACACATATGCACACACGCAGTGTACACCTGTACATGCGTACACACACATGAAAAGAAAATTACAAGCCGCCGACCAGTGGGCAGAGCACACGCCGGCCAGGCAAAAAAGGCACAAAACTGCATCTAAAGGCCCACCTCGACAAAACCTCAAAGTCCCAGCATGACCACAACACGTGCCAAAATGCATGTTGATATTATAGTCAAGAACACAATCTGGCTAATATACTGGTTCTTGCATTACTCGGTTCACCTTGCCACTGTTCACCATTGTACCATCATGAACGGTTGTCAGCAAGTTCACTTCTCTCTCATCTTTCCACCTAACAGTATTTTTCTTGTCTTTCCACCTAACAGTGTTTGGTCACTTTTTCTTAGCTGGCAGTCACCAACTTCAAGATTATTGTCAAACACTGGCATTTCCCTTCTTCTTGGCTTTACCGTGCCAACCATTCCAGTTCTATTTTCAATCAAGAACCTAGCTAGCAAGGGATTTGTATAGTAGTTATCCATGTATCCATGTATAAAATGTGGCCCTTGTTCATCCATGGTGCCATCAGTAACTTCACCACACTACCTGAGAAACCATGTTGGTCGTTACCGGGAATGTCTACATCACTAGCAGAATACAGAATCATGTGTAACACGTATCCTGTTTCACAGTCACAAAGAACAAAGAATTTAAATCCAAATCTATTGCGTTTAGAGGGAATATACTGCTTGAAGGCAACACGTCCCTTGAAAAGCACAAGGGATTCGTCAATCACCAGCTTCTGTGCTGGTATGTAGAAATCGCTGTACCTTCCAATCACTTCATTCATAATGTGCCTGACTCTCCAAAGTCTATCATCCTCTGTCTAGTCTTCATTACTTGCAAAATGAAGACACATGAGGAGTATCTGAAATCTGTCTCAGGACATATATTTCCTGAACAAAGGTGTTCGAATAGTCTGGTCTTTGCTCCAATAATCTGTGACAGCGTGTTTGACACAATGTTTCAGCAATATCTTCGTTCCAAAAAACACATACATTTCACCTACAGTAGTGTTTTTCCAACGCTGTAATCGTGAAAATTCTGATATTTTTTCCAATGAGATGAGCCGCATGAAGGTTCGTTTGGTGTACAATATATTCCATGAGCGTTTCATCATAAAATGCTGTAAAATAGTCTATTTTACTCATGTCCTCACCAGTATCGGGGAAAAGGTCTGTAATCCCAACGTCTTTATTGTCAAAGGTACGAATTAGAGGAACAAAATCGTCACCATCACTCCACACAAGTACACCTGGTGTCCTGCGAGACGAAACAGCAGCACGACAGCAAGGAATCGTTGCACACAGTGGACCAGGAGCTGAAGCCCATCTACGCAAAGTACGGGTACTACGTGAACATGAGGTAAAATCACGTGAACATGAGGGTCTTGGTTCCTCATGTGGTGCCATGCAGCGGCGCTTGGCTTGGCGAGACGCTGCTGACGCGACAAAATCTCGTTTGGTAACACCACTGGCACTAGCAACAGGCATGGTAATACTATGCTCTGAATCCACTTCACTAAAACCAGAAAAAGAATCACCTTCCTCTGACTCATTGCCCAAATTTTTTTTTTTTTTTTTTTTTTTTTTTTTTTTTTTTTTTTTTGAGATACTGTATATACAAGAGTTGTTACATTCTTGTACAGCCACTAGTACGCGTAGCGTTTCGGGCAGGTCCCTGGAATACGATCCCCTGCCGCGAAGAATCGTTTTTTCATCCAAGTACACATTTTACTGTTGCGTTAAACAGAGGCTACAGTTAAGGAATTGCACCCAGTAAATCCTCCCCGGCCAGGATACGAACCCATGACATAGCGCTCGCGGAACGCCAGGCGAGTGTCTTACCACTACACCACGGAGACTGCTGTCCTCATACTCTAAATAAGAACAAGAACTGTGTGGTCGTGGGTGAATTGGAGGAGAACCAGTCCCGTCATTGGGCGAGACGGGACTGCTGAGCGTGTAGGCCTCGCCCTGAGAGCAGGCTGTATCTCATATTCACTATGTGCTACTATCTTTGGACAATTGTGTGTAGTCCTTATCAATGTCAGTCATCAAAATCACTTTCCTCACCATCAGAAAATAATTCACTGGTTATTTGCTCTTGAGCAAGAGCAAATAACGTGCTCGGGAGGGGTTTGGCCGTGCACTCACCATGGTGACAGCTGGGTAACTGAGGCCTCCCATGCATTGGTGGCGAGAGCAGGATTTTTTTTACAAAATGGCGGCCGTTTACTATAGCCCCTGGGCAACGTATGGGGGACACCCCCGCCCCTCCCTCGCTGGCCATTCGAATCTTGCACGGTACTCCATCACGTCACATGACGTGTTGCGCAGTTTAAGAGTTGAAGGTTAACAGAGGACAAATCCTCATAGTTGTATGTTATTAAATTAATTGATCGTACAGTAAATTATGTTGTAACTGGGAAATATTTCCCACACCAGGAGTTAGTCAGCTATTGTGAAGTTGCATCCTGGGGAGGGTCAGTAGTTTGACATTGGGGGACTTCGATACAAACCTAATGTATGTATATACACAGGATGCCTGTCCCCTGACAAAATAAATTATAAAATGAATTAAAAGAAAACAACATAAGTTCAATTAAATACAATATTCCTTGCTAGAAAAACTTTGATTTGAAAATTCTTAATATGATTTGGAACCTCATCCACAACACAGCCAGCCTCATACGGCACTTAACTTTAACTTTACGTTGTCAGCCCACTCCAACCACCATGTCATTCCTGTACCAACCCTTCCCCATCCAATGACTTAATGAAATACGAACTTATAATAAACTGCATAATTTTATGCATAAGAGATGCCTCACTTACTTCCTTGTGTGGTCCAGGAGGTCATGTCCCCAAACTTGTCCAGGTCACAGAGCTTAAGGTCAAAGTTCTCCCTCGGGTACAGACCTGCCAGCAGTGAAGGAAGATAGATTATGCTTATGGTAGTAAACATAAGAACATAAGAACAAAATGTAACTGCACAGGGCCTATTAGCCCACATGAGGCAGCGCCTACTTATAACCATCCAATCCCATGCAGATACATGTCCAACCCATGTTTGAAACTATCAAGGAACCCCACCTCTACCACGTTACGCAGTAATTGGTTCAACAAATCAACAATCCTGTTACCAAACCAGTATTTACCCAGTTCTTTCCTAAATCTAAACTTATTCAATTTATACCCATTGTTTCGTGGTCTGTCTTGTGTTGATACTTTTAATACCCTATTAATATCCCCTTTGTCATGCCCATTCATTCACTTATGCACCTCTCATGCCACCCCTAGTTCTTCGCCTTTTTAGAGAATAAAATTTAAGCTTTTGTTAATCTTTCTTTATATGACAGGTCTCTAATTTGAGGGATTAACTTTGTCATCCTGCGCTGGACGCGTTCTAGTAAATTTATATCCATTCTATAGTACAGCGACCAAAACTGAACTACATAATCTAAATAGGGCCTAACCAGATTAACCCTTTAGTTGCGCAAGACATCATATGATGCGTTGAGTGACTTGCAGTAAATTGCGCTCGGCATCATATGATGTTTTGGAGTACTGTGCAAGATTTAAACGGCCCGCGGATACACGGGGTTCACCACACCTTCATCAGGGCTCTTGTAAACAGACGCCATTTTTTTTTAAATCATGGGCCAAATTCCCGGGTGTGAAAAAAATTCACTCAAATTCCTGAGGGGCCTCAGTATTGAGTGAGCAACCAAGCCTGACGCAGGCAGCATGAGCTCACAGCACTGCTGTTCAGCTCGTGACCACAGCATTGCTTAAAAATGCCATAATATACATGTTCTTGCTATTATTTAGCAATATTATTACAGAAGCCCCCTGACTGTGATAAAACTGACCAGGGTTCTGATAATAGCAGGATTGTGGTGATATTTAGCGCTGTGCTCCATGGAGGGAGGAGTAATGCTGTGGGAGGGAGGGTGGTGGCGTCGTCTTCTGACTGTGGGGCCACCTTTTATTGACTGCACTCACCATATACCAGCTTAGTGGTTCGCTATGGGTGAACACAAATGTACATACTTATATATAACGTGTGTATAGAGTGTAATAACAGCAATAGGAGTAGGTTGGGAGCCGCCATTTTGGTGAGGGAGGTGCGTCGTCTGCACGACTTATGTTGTTTACTGGTGACCACTATGGTCTTTGGGCACCATACCAGTTTACTTGTACAAGTATGGTGAATAAAACAGGTAGATACTCTTATATATAATGTGTGTATATAGCGTAATAACACTACAAACAGTATTGTTGGAGGAGAAACATTAGTTCGTCTGGCCTTGGGGACGGCCGCCACCAGCTGACTGTGTGAGTAGCTATATCTTTGTGCCTTTACTCACCATACAAGCTTAGATGTACAGTTATGGTAAACAAAACATGTAAATACTTATATATAACGTCTGTATATAAAAGCAAAAACAGTATGGTGGGAGGTGAATGGTGGCAAGTCAGGTGAGGTGAGGGAGGGAGGGAGGGAGTGGCAGCTAGTGGCGGGTTGCCACTGGTTGCCACTGCCACTCAGCATACCAACCTAGTGGTTCGTTATGGTGAACATGAATGTAGATACTTATATATAACGTCTGTATATAGTGAATAAAAATAAAAACAGTATGGTGGGAGGAGAATGTGGGCGAGTGAGGTGTTGAGGGAGTGAGTGGCAGCGTGTGGCGGTCACTCCTCGTTACTTTTTGACTCATAATAGCAACTTAGTGGTTCGTTATGGCGAACAAAACATGCAGATACTTATATATAACCTGTGTAAATAGTGTAATAACTGAAAGTATTTGTTCACTGTTTGATGAACATAATTGAATCAACAATATGCACACCTTATTTTTGAGTACAGCAATGATTCACTCATTTTATTATATAAATATATCACACTACACACTATTCAATAATATTACCGCAAAAAAACTACTAAAAATCAGAGACATTGAAATAATTAGGTAATTATATCTTTGTGGCAACTCCGGCCTGACAGCTGGTGAGCAACAGACCATCTGGGACGCACGCTGAGTCAGCGCCTGTTTTTTGCCAGACTTCCCCCCACTATAGCGAGCAATATATGCCACTTACATTTTTTTTATTATTTTTCCCATGATCAGTGAACACAAATTAACAGGTTTAGACGACTTTTTTTTTTTTTTTTTTGGGTATGCGCCTGTGGGTGACACATGCTAAATAGCCAGGTGCCATTTAAGGGTTAACCAAAGATAAAAACAAGAGGAACTTACCTGGGAGGCGGTCACGACTCGCTCCTCAACTCGAAGTCGAGAAAACTGGCTGCAACCGCCAACCCAATGTAACACATGCCCGACTAGGGCCACGAACATTAACTAGGTAGTGAGCGGCCAGGATCCTGTTCGACCTCCAAAAACCCTGTGCCTGAATGTCAACCGAAGACGGCAGCCAAAGCAGCATTACAAATAAACCAAAGCGCATCCCCGGCCACCGAGGCTGTGGCGCGCAGGTAACGGCGACGAGACACAACCGGACAACACATGATGCACTCCCGGCCAAACCAACACAAGGACCCCCTCCAGAAAGCAGCAGTCTCATTCTTCGCCAGGAAGAGAGACTGCTGCAACTGAGCAAACCTATCACCATGACCAAAAGAGCAGAAACCTCTGTGCCGGAGAAGAGCATGAAGCTCCCCAACCCGATCCCCCCCAGAGGCCAATGTCAACATGAAAAGAGCCTTCACAAAACAATCTTGAACCAAAGGGCCACAACAAACTGAGGAGGAGGAGAGAAAAGAGAGCACCCGGTCCATTGAGCAGGACGGTTCAGGTGGCACATGAGCAGGTTGAATGTGAAATAATGCACGAGACAGCTTGTTGAACTGGGCCAAAGTAACATCCACCCCAAACGCAAGCTGAAGTGGATCCGCCAGTGCCACATGATACGAGGCAACAGTATTCAGAATAAGATGACAATCCTGAAACAACCAGGACTAGACGGACAAGACAACCTGTGCCGAAACAGAAGAAAACCTATGAAGGGACAAGAAATGACAAAAGGACCGCCAGGACACTTCATACTGCCGAGATGAAACATGCAGATGGGACACCATCAATGAAGCCACCTGCTCCCCATACAAATGGTGATAGACCTACGTTAGAAAGACCAGACACAAAGACTTGAGAAGATCAAACCAGTTACATAACAGATTGGCCCGATCTGCGGGAAGAACCCCGGGTTCAGACACCGAACAAGCAGTACATGAAACCAAGGCTGGGCCGGCCACCAAGAGGTCAAACGGACTACTCTCCCTTGGTAAGTCACCAAGCGAACTAGATCCTGGAAAAACAGCAGAACCGGGGGAAGAGGTACAGGTAACCCCGCCTCGACCATTCCTGCCTGAAGGCATCGACCCCGACGGCCTCGCAGTCAGGGAAGGGCATCACATATACTGGGAGATGCCTCAACCACGCCGACCACCGGTGTGAAGAGAGCCACCTCTGGGAACCCGTAAGTCTGGCAGAGCCAACTGAACGAGTCGGCGTCGACCATCCATTCCGTGGACAGGGGAATGAACCATGACAGGTCATCTGCCAGGACGTTGGACACCCCCCGAACGTGAATGGTCAAGAGAGCCAAACCCCAAGAACTCTGCAGACGAGTCACCCGAAGCGACCTGTCACAAAGAGCAAAGGCCCAAGTTGAACACCCACGGTGCAGGCAATGAACCACCGAGGAGCAATCCGAATCAAGCCGGATCATCGATACTGGCCGGCCTGGTGAGCACTGGTCATAAAGCTCCAGCCAAGAAACGACGTGTCTGAACACATCAAGCAAGGGCTTAGGTAGGTGCCAAGGCACTGAATCCTGAGAAACCCAACGAGGAAGCCGGCGATGCAGCAGCCGACGTCAGGCACCTGGAGGCCGAACCCAGCGATTGCAAGAGTGGTGGATGGGGCATCCCCAAAGGAACCAGAACAGCCGACAAAGCCAAACCTGACCTGGCGATAGATCATCATGGCAAAGTTTAGACGCCTGCACAAACCCTCGAGCAAACGCCTCATTACCCGGGAGCCCCCCAGAAACAGGTGAAGGCAGGATCGCAGCCACAGCAGAACCTCAAGAGGGAGACACAAAGAAGTGGTTCAAGAGTCCCACACAAGATCCAGCCAAGAACGAACCTGAGAGAGAACCAGATGGGACTTTCTCCAGTTAACCAGGAACCCGAACCCAGCAAGCTATGAAAAAAACAAATCCCTGGCGAGCAGACACACGGACTGGCTGGGAGCTCACACTATTCAGTCATCGAGGTAGGCCAGAACCCAAACCCCCTAAGAGACCCAGACAGGCCACCATGACCCGGGTAAGATGTGTGAAAACGCAAGGTGCCAGATTCCAATGGAAGTGGTAAGCCTGATGCCCCACAACAAACACGAGCAAGTCCCTGAACCCTGGATGAATCGGGACATGCCAATACGTGTCCCAGAGTTTCAGGGACACCATCCAAACGCCCGGCTCCAAAAGAAGCCAGACCTGGGACAGAGCAGTCATCCGAAAGGAGGGGCAATAGACCCAGGGGTTCAGATGGGACAAGTCCAGAATGAACCGCAGGTCCACACAGTCCCATTTCGGAACCGAAAACAGGCAGGAAATCCACATGAGGGACGTGGACGTTTCGACCACACCCAAGCAAATCAACTCCACGATAACCAGACAGAGTGCAAGAGAAGATGCCTGCCCCCATCAGCCCTGAACCCCTTGAAGGAGGAGGGGTGACTCAACGCCACTGCAGGCCGCAAGAAACGACCCGAAAAGTCCACAAATTGTGGGACCAGTTGTGAGAAAATAGCGGTAGCCTCTCCCCCCCCCCCTCATTGCTCTGTCAATGCGACGAACCACAAAAGGGCCAACTCCCCTTATATGAA